ATACATATAAATTCAAAAGGCATTATTATGACAATTGCAGGCCATATATCAATATAGTAGATATCAGAAAACAATAATATCATATTTTCAAAATATCATTGGAATTATTAATATGAATTCACATGAAGCAATTTATAACAATAATTTGCACAACACTTAACGCACTACACTTACACATAACGTTTGCATATAGCCCTTGCATATGACACTTGCACCTAGCACTTGCACATGGCACTTGTGTAAGGTAAAACTTATAGCACAAAAACCCAAAATTTTAAACCATTGTTTTACAAAAAAAGTAAGGCCACTTACAATATCTAAAATTTATGCTGGAAATATTACAATTAAATACAGAAATATCTCTAGGAGTATAACATAAATATCAGTTTTTCAAATAATGAATTTACAGGAAAAATGAAGTCACTGACCTATATGTCACTCTGAGATGGATATGTTATTATTGTTGTCGAAGTAGAATTGGAATCAAGGCTTTTTAACTAAAAGTATGAGAAGAGAGAGCAAATGAGTTTCTATGGGAAAAGGAGCATAAAAATATGTTCATATAAGAGAGCAAAAAATATTATAGAATTATTTTTATGAGAGCATTTTGAGAACATTATCATGATGAAAGCATACTATAACATGTGATGATAACATATAAAAATTAAATAAATTTTTTAATGAATATTATAACATTAAACAATGCAAATAATATGAATACAAACAATATATAAATGAAAATTTGATAATAAATTAAATAATATAATAATATAATGATGACACATATAGAAATATGTATGTAAAAACCATTCATAGCATTATAATAAAATTAACAAATTAGCTGATTAAACAAAATTAAGTGTATCATATATAAGTGAATAAGTCATGTATAATAAATTAAAATTGATATACTTAATATTGTAATGTTAACTTTATTATTTATTATTGTGTGAACATTATTAAAATAATAATATTGTTATAAGAAAGTAATGAGGATATTATGAATGAAAGAAAATACTATTTTTTATAAGAATACAATTATTATGAAAATAATGAGAGTATTATTAAAATCACAATATCATTATGAGAGAATACTTCATGAGAATATTATTAAAATAATATTATTATTTTGAGAAAATAATGAACATATTATGAGGGAGAGATAGAAAGAAATAAAATGTATAATTGAAATAAGAGAGAGGAAGAGACTTAAGTAAAGAGAGAGATATTGAACTTTTATGAGCTTCATCATTTGCTCATGATAGGGGAAGGGAATGTTTTTAAAGTGAGAGAGGACACTCCCCATTTTGACACATGTCAAGGCATGTGTCATCCTTTTTTATTTTTTGTTAATTATTTCATGATGTCACATCACATCCCCTTATTCTCTTATATTGCCACTTCACCTTTTATCATTATCTCATGATGCCACAATATACCCTAAGATTTTAATTTAATATTTCTCTTTAAAACTCGGTAGAAATAAAGGGTGTAGTAAAGGAGTGGTCCCATTGTGCATTAACAACACAACACACCATCATTCAAATTGTTTTTTTTATGTACGTATTTTGTTTTAATTTAATTATTATTATTTTATTACTATTACTATT